GTGCTTCCAATGCCGTGCATGTCACCGCTTCTGCGACGTCATTCCGTCATTCTCCCACTCCGCACCACAAGAGTCGCTACATGGAACCCATTGTGTATGAGGAGTCGCCTCTAGCCGACTACCTCAAAGGTAAGCCGGCCATCCAATCTCGTACAACCTTATACAGTCTTGTTCTAACGCCCGTATGCGGAAATGTAGATGGGGGAGACGGTTCTGAGGCTGACTGGGCCGCCGTCAATGCCTCACCACGGCCTTCCTCGCCAGAGTTCGACTCGTCGCCGCCGCCAAGTCCCTCGCCGTTTGCCCCTACAGGTCGACCAATGGTTAAATCGAGATTTCGACCCAAAGGCCCGGCCCTCTTGCAGACGGATGTACCCAGGGCCCTCGGGGCAACAAGGCTGCAATCTATGAGGAGGAACTGCTCGGTACGGCCAAACTCTTCTCGCAAAGCGCAGAGGGTATATCGTGAAACCTGCGCCTTTCCAACTGACAAAATTTCCTTCCATAGGCTGCCGTGGTGGCGAGCCTCGATCGCGCCGACAATTCCAAATTTCTCGAGCAATTTCGCTACACCATCATCGCGTCGCAGTTGCTAAGCGGGACCTCGATCCTGGGTCATCGACCAGCTGCCCCCAGCGTGCCCGGAGCGAACAGCGACGATAAGCACGACCAACCGCTTTTGTCGACGGAGGGGATTCTTGCTTCCATTCTCGGCGCCCTTGCCATTGCCGTTGTTCTAAGCTGGGTTCTTGGAAACGCGCCCTCGTATGTCACGCGGAAACGGCTGGCATTTCTCCTGGTTTTGTGTGCGGCCGCAGCCTTTCTTGGTCAGATATACATGCGACGGCAGTGGCTTCGCTACAGACGAATGCAATCCTTGGCCGAGATTGCCACCTTTGTTTCCAATTCCAACGATTTTGATAGCGCATCGGAAGCTACATTGTCGCTTGTCCAGGAAGTAGAGCTTGTTTCTCGTGGTTATCGAATGTACGCAGCCGCCGGTTCATGCTTGCTATTCTCTTTCTCTTTCTCTCACCCACTCTCCCCCCTCCCTTGTATTTTTCTTTCTTTCGGGGTCTTCATCACATGGTGCTAACCATTTTGATAGCAGCGCCCCATTACCCCCAATTACCAGACTAGAGGATCGCAACCAGGCCAGAAAATGCGTCCGCCTACGGAGGGCACTAAAGAGTTCATTTGCAGATGTATTGGATGCCTATATGCAAATGGCAAATCTGGTCCAGGGCTTTTCCGAGCAAACAGAGCTGGAAAAGTACTATGACATGTACGACATCAACGACTTGGACATGTCTGATGCTCTGCAAGGATTTACCGAGGGCGAGTTTGATGACGCCGAGTCACTCCGGACACTGAAGATTCTAGCTGCACGGTTTCACACCACACGCAAAATGCTTCTGTGTGCCTTGTTGGCCCTGGATGCCAACGGCGAGGGATCCGACCTGCTCCGGTGGACAACGGCGGTTGAAGTGCTTCGGAACCTCAACGAAACCACGCAGGCTGCGTTCCAAAAGCTCCAGGGCATCTTGAGCGAAGCTGAATGTAAGTACTATGCGGCCCATCAATCTCCTACTTTAGAAGAAAGGTGTTTACTGATCTGTCTAGCATTCCCTAACCCTCCTACTCCCAAGGGTCCCTTAACGCCGGGCAGGGAACGCTGGCGCTCCCAGTTGCGCAAATTAAACTCGATGTCAACGGGCATCCGAGGCTTGCAGGCCAAGCTGCACCTGCTGAGAGAAGAATCCGATCGCGCGCTAGACGACTCCAACGATATTTCGGAACTAGCGCCAAACTTGATGTCGCAATACGAATCCATTGGGGCAGACCTCAAGGAACTCATGTCTGCGTGGGAGGAGGGCAAGGCTGCTCTGGCTCTGGGAATCGATAGAAACGAAAAGAGACTGTCATCTATGAGCACGCTCTTGTCTCCTAGGAGCTCCCTCAGCGGCCTGACGACGGTTGGTGAAGGCACCGCGGCAGATGCCCTCAAGGCTCTGACGGGCGAATCACCGCCCGCTTCAGACGTGAATGAGCCGAGTGAGCCAGAGACGCCCGAGGTTTTCGAGGCTGTGGCACACCCACGACCAAAGAGCTCACTTACCAGAGAAGAACGAATTGTCAAGATGAAGGAAGAGCGCGACGAAAAGGCACAGGCTCGGAAACAGATGGATGCCACCAGGGGCATGCTCCGCGAGCTGGAGACGGTTATCAACTTGCGGCCCAAGACCCGTGCCAGCGCCCCTCCAGCAAACCGAGTCATCTCCATGTAAACAGCATTTGGCGGCTGTAAATGGATGACTGTGGACCTTTATCTCTCTTCCTCTCTTTCTATCTCTCATTTTGCATCGTCTGGGCAAACGGTACACAGACATAATCTAGGCGCAAGTTGGCAATGTCAGGACTTCCATGGATAGCGGTTCAGGATAGGTGTCAGGCTGGTTGATACGTTCTTTGCAAATAGTTTCTTTTTCTTTTTTCTCTCCCTGGAATGTCGATGAAATATTCTGCTTCACGAAAAAGGGCTAGTTTTGCTGCGGGTTGACTGTGTAAAACCTGCGGCCGTCGCCAGCCATATTAATGGGCTGTATCTACTTTGTCTACATGTATAGCGGCATGCTTTATTTACTATGTATTTTAGAAGATTAAGCCAGACGAGGTTAAACAAGGGCTAGTCGTTGACGCTGCTCCGGGTCCAAGAGCCAACAACACGTCTGGGCAAATGCCCCGCGTAATGTTGGCGTCACAACCAAGTGCGAGCTCCATTCGACACAGGAGCCCCGCCACGACGCGTCTCAATTTACCCACAACTTCCCTCGCGTGTTAAGTGATTTTTGAGTGCCCGCTTGCCACGTCCTGCACGCTTTTGCTTCTTCTCTCTCACACTTGACTTTGACTTGATTTCTGTAACCCATTTCTGTGATATCGCAATCAGGGTTTCTCACGAATTACCTCCCAAATCTCTTTTGCCCTCGTTTGAACATTGACTTGGCGGTACACCCTCACCGCCCCGAATCTCTTTCCCCGCTCTCATATTCACAGATTCGAGACGGTACGTTGGATCAGGCGATTTCGACGGGACGAGCATCGTTACTAACGGTCTGGCAGAGATGTTGGAAGCACGACTCAAACAAGCTAATATCCTGAAAAGGGTACATTCTGATTCACGCTCTGCCGTGTCGCCGTTGCTCTCACTAACGTTCCATCAGGTCGTCGAGGCCATCAAGGACCTCGTCCAGGACTGCAACTTTGACTGCAATGACTCGGGCATCGCCCTGCAGGCCATGGACAACTCTCACGTGGCCCTCGTCTCCATGATGCTAATGCGCGATTCCTTCGAGCCCTACCGATGCGACCGGAACATTGCCCTCGGCGTGAACCTGACGTCCCTGACCAAAGTGTTGCGCGCCGCCCAGAACGAAGACGTACTCACCATCAAGGCCGAGGATGCCCCCGACGTGCTGAACTTGATGTTTGAGAGCAGCTCAAACGACAGAGTCAGCGAGTATGACCTCAAACTCATGGATATTGACCAGGAGCATCTGGGCATTCCGAACACTGAGTACGCTGCCACCATTGAACTGCCCTCCGCCGAGTTTCGACGAATCTGCACCGATCTCGCTGCCATGTCTGAGTCTGGTGCGTGTTGCCCCCCGCCTTTGTCCCTCGCTTGATATAATATGAGAGAATACGTCTCGCTAACAATGCGCGCTCACGCGCGCGTGTGTGTGCAGTCAGCATCGAGGCCAGCAAGGACGGCATCAAATTTGCCTGCAACGGCGACATTGGCAACGGTTCCGTCACCCTCCGAAGCACTACCAACACCGATAAGCCCGATATGGATATCAAGATTGATCTCGTCGAGCCCGTGTCCCTGACCTTTTCTCTCAAGTACCTCGTCAACTTTTGCAAGGCCGCCCCGCTGTCGCCCACGGTCAAGATTTGCCTGTCGAGCGAGGTGCCCCTGTTGGTCGAGTACCTTGTATCTGGTAGCAGTTATCTGCGCTTCTACCTGGCGCCCAAGGTATGTCGTGCTTCAAAGCGGCGTTTTGTTTGAGAATGATGCTGACCCGTGGGTATTTCACAGATTGGCGAGGACGAGTAGAATACCCAAGGAGGGGAAAATTTTTTTTTCAAGGCAGCCCGGTGTCCCGCCGCCGCGGGAGGCATGAAGGAGCAAAATCACAAGAGCAAAATCGTACTACTTGTAAACTGGCGTTTACGGACGAGAAATGTGATGGTCTAGTTGATGGACTGCAGCAGATGGATGGATGATAATCTTTGAAGCTTTCTTTACTCAAGAGGCGTGCTTTGTATGATAATGAATCGAGTTTGCTTTGGCCCTTAATTGTGCTGTCTGAGTGGATAATATCAACTGGTTCGTCCATTTCGCTCGTCTCGCAAGGCGTATACAGTATAAATTCGCCGAGGTACTCTCGGTATGTTTTCGCTGGATGATGCGGTTCACTATGCCGAAACAGATGCCATGAAGGGCCAAGACGGCATGCCAAGGTACGCAACTCGACAACTGGATGAGTCTGATGATATGCTGTTGATTCTTTTGTGATTGTCTAAAATACAAATGCCGTAGCGAATGATGTTTGCGAAGCAAACAGGGTATATGTATGTACTCGGCCTACTACCCTCCCACTATCAATTATTTCATTCCGTCGCAAACCCTTTATCCTGATATTAAATATTAAGCAAGTAGTAATAGTTGTAGTATATGGCGTGCCGCAAACAATGCATAAAGCTGGAAATGCCTGAAGGTAGAGCGAAATGAAGACAGTATTTTGGTTAAGATTGCTCGCAAGTAAACAGCAAATGAAAATATGAAACGGGCGTGAAGTCCAGTTCACAAGCCGCCCTGCAGCTACGTGAATAGCCAGTCACTCCTCGTTCATTTTCCTCTGTGCAGAATATCAATGGTGTGGCGCTGTGACACCATCTCAGCTGAAAGAATGGAAAACGGCATCGTCCGAGTGTTACGAGCGATCCCGAACCGCAGTGCCAACACCCAGGAATTTGTCAGCAACAGGAACTTGGGAAGCAGTCAAGTCGTCGAGGCCCGTCTCTTTGAAGACAGAGATGCGTCCCTTGCGAATATTGCTGCTGGGTGTTTGGAACAGACGCGGTAGATAGAGCCCGGCACCTTCACGAAGACGATCCGAAGTGAGGTGAGAGTTGAACTTGGGTCGCACGGGGACTGAGGAGGTGGCGCCGGGAACCTGAAGATGGGTGCCAGTGGCGGCCGGAGAGGCGAAAGAAGCCATTGATGCTGAGGTGTTGTATGGACAGAAATTACTATCCTTTTGCAAAGATTTTGTAAAGTCAAGGGAGACTTGGTCCGTTCCAACAAAGGTGGACAGACGGCCGTGCCCGTATTCAAGGATGGTGGAAAAGAGAAGATGTCAAAAACGGCGCCCGAGGGGAGTCGTCACTACAGACCAAGGACCCAACGAGTACAAAAGAGGTTATTGTTGAAAAGTAAGGATGGGTGAAAAGGAAAGTCCCCAGAGCAGATGATACAGAAAGCGCGCACATATGGCGAAACAAAGAATTAACAGAGGGTAGCACGTCGTCCGCGAAGAAAACTGGTGGTGTCACAGATAAATACCCATTTCAGCTCTGGGCCTCCCATCAACGCCATCACCTAGCCCTGGGCATGGGGTTTCATTGTTCGTTCCTCGGCCACTAGTAATGCCGTCGGATGCCCCCAGCCCTCCAGATGCTCCATTGAGGAGGGACTAGTAAGGGAACGGCGCGATGGCCAAGAAGATTGGCGTGAGCATCCCAGTCGGAAAATTGGCGAAAATCCTCAGCATTGTTCCTCACTGGCACTGGCACTGGCACCGTTCGGTCCAATAATATGGACCACTCGGTAGATCATTTTCGATTTCCCAACTAGGAGGGATAAGAGGAATGGGAATCAAACAACTTTGATCTGCGTATCCACTCTCCAAGGTTCGCGAGTCGCTACCCATCCTGGAAAAGTGCTCGGAGGATAACTCTGCAGTTGGACCGATTGCAACGTTCAATTGCTGTGTGGCATCGACTAGCTATTAGATGGTTGATGTTCGTTGCGACTTCAGTTGTCTCTCTCTGGATCCAAGCTCTTGCACAATGACCTCACTCGGGCGAGGACCGGGGACCCTAGCCTGGGAGGGAAAGCCCATTGTACATGCGTTTCAAAGGCGGATACGAGACGCGGGTTTTTGTGAGGCTTGGCGCGAAGGGTCCTCCTCGTTCGTGCTTGTGCGCAGAACGCCCACGAGGTCATAGTCGGGTACTATGCGATCGACAAAGTCTTGACCAGCAGAAAAATTCTAAATTCCCGCCTGGGAAGAAATGGGGCAAGCTGTCGAGAAACCTCGTGTTCGCAGCGTCGCCTTGGGCCTTCCACCAAGACGCTTGTCAGCACGGCCAAGACTAAATCCTGGTGAGGGTGGCGGCACCGTTCCGTGTAGCTGGACTATTGTACGGAGTAGTACGGCATTGTTTTTTGCTCTCATGTGTCGCCAGTCGGCCCTTGTCCTCCCAGTCCATAGACCCATTACTTGAGCCTGGTGTCCATCTTTCCGTATCTCCACAGCCGTCTTTTGCTTTCTTTAGCGTAATGCAGTAAGCGCCACGACGTCGGCAAAACAACCATGTCGCACTGTCATGTAAATCCCATGTTGAAATGGCCTAGAGAGCATGGTATTAGTATTACTGGATGACATCAGTCCGACATGTCCATCTGACCGCGTTAGCCGGTGCAGAGGCAAGACAGTATCCAACTCCTGCCGCGCCAACCTTTGTTAGTTCAAGTCGTTAGGTCAGTCTCCTCTTCTCCTCCACTCCCCAATGGCAAACTGAAGTCTGCCATTTAGAAATCCATATCCTGAAATCAGTCCGGTATGGAGTGGTCTCCACGCTTGGCAGGACCCTAAAACGGAAAATCGGCTTTGCCACAACTTGTGGTGATGATAAGCACCAAGATGGGTAAGAAGTGGACGGCTCCAGCCTGCCCAGCCCTCCAACATGCCAGATCTGCTCCCTCCCTCGAGGTTGAACAAGCCGGCCATGTCAGTCGAGAGATGTTTCTTGCGGAGTTTGGCCCGTGCCCCGAGTTCATTTGCAGCGCCAATAAGCCCATGGGTTTGACGCGAGACAGACCGACGGGAAGTGAAAGTTCTCGCTTGACAAAGTGGAATTGATTTCTGGGCTTTGAGAGCGCGATTGAGACAAGACTCTAATGACGCTTCGCTCCCCCCGTTAGTATCTATGCAACTGCCGACCGATTTTAGACGGGTCATAAAACTTACACTTAAAGAGTTCCATGAAATCGACAAGCGTGTATCGTAGGCAAGATACAATGGGTTGGGTCCGCAAGGATACTAGATGTAGTCCCATATTCCTTTGCCGATTCCTTGCCTGACCCTGTCCTGCATCAAATGCGACAGCGTCCGTTATTTATACGAGAAACACTTTCAAGCCCTGGCTCTCCCAAGACCCTTCCTTCTTCCTGCTTCTAAATTACAGTCATGGCTATATCTAAAAAAAAAGCAGGCTGGTATAATAAATCGTCATGCCTCGCCAACGCCGCACTTGAACAATATTCGTTCCAGCTACCGAGGCGTGTCGTAAGTTGTCAAGTGTTATTTGCTGGAGCACACACACTGCAATAGAGACACCTGGGCTACCCATTCGACATGGAAACACCACACACGAAATTATGCATCGCCGTTTCCTCCGGTCCAAACCATGTCCCAGGCTATCTGTCTGTAAAGGGCGGTGTAGGATCGTCCTCGGGAGCCAATCCAAGCGGATGGCGGGCCTCAAGCGGAAGCAGTAGCTTCCCCGGGTACGTATTGAGCGCTTGTCTGACTCCAACTTCTCTTCCAATGAAAAGTAGCGCAGCTTCAGCCTCGCTCTTTTGTTCTGCAAGGGTAGCCCCGACAATATAAACAGCTGTGAGTGGCCAAACCATCTTCAGGGCGTCAAATAACACCTTTGGCGACTTGTCCTTGCCGGCCGCCAGAGGGCCTAGTGAATATGGAACACTATCGACTATAAATTGCCCGGCCGCTCGAACCATTTGAAGGCAGTAAGTGCGCTGTGCTCGAAGCTGATGCAGTGTTATCCTGCAAGGTGCGTAGTGCGTCAGGAAGTTGGCCAACATCAGGAGATAGCTGTAGCCCTTGATGATAGCCGAGTAGTAAAGATTGCGCATATAGACGTCCATGTCGTGGGTACTGTCGGTCGCCGTCCTGACGTAATTGTTGACGTGCTTTTCGGCCTCGGCCAACTGTGCTACAAGTGACTCGTACTGCTCTTCTGCGGCTGCGAAATCGCGACGAAGAAGCAAATCGAGGATGGTAGCTTGGACGCGTGTGCATTTCGTGATGAAGACTGATACGTGTAATGTAAAACCTTCGCCGTCGTAAAGGTTGTTTCGTATGATGCCCAGCCATTCGCCTGACTCTGGCGGGCATTCCATGTTGCTGACCAGGGCTTGGATTTGCTGCGTCTTGTGAGATTCCAATGCAGTCACGGTACCATGGCCAGACTTACCACCATGTTATAACACGGCCAAAACGCAGTCCTCCCCTCCGCCGTCAAAAGTTGTTCGGTACCTCTCGTCTTGAGTATACTGTAAAGCCCTCTTGTATGTAGATGCCAGGGGCTCAGTAGCTCCATACGACCTAGTGAGCCAACCAGCAGCTGCATCTGTAGTCAGCACAATGTCCTCGTCCATTGTCAATAGTCTTTGCCCACCAACCTCATAATTTGCCAGGATCCAAACTGTGGCAAGCACGTCGTCTCGAAACGCGCCATCAGGTTCCTTGAGTGCTGTGTTGACGGCGCTCAGAGTCTTTCCCAAGTACGTGCCCAGCTCGCGTTGGTTTTCCACTTCTGACTCCTTGTATACCGAAACCGGGTACCGAATGTTTGTCACGTAGGTTCGGGTGAAGAGATGGGCAGCCCAGACCAACGGCCCGTTCCGAGGATTGATTCGGTAAATGTTGTGGAGGAAGTCGAGCGTCGAATATACGTTGAGAATGATTGGGACGGAATGATTTGTCCAGTGCTCTGTCAAGGGCCGCGAAATTGTCGTCAGTGCTGTCGAGACGGTATCGCCCGGCAATGGAAGCAGTTCTGTTTTTGAATCGAAGGTGAAGGTAGCTTCCCCGTTGCTAACAAGGGAAGCCGGCGTGCTCGATCTGGTGCCGGCCGGTGAGGAGCTTTTAGAATCATCTTGACCTCCTTCCTTGGCCGCCGCTCGTTTCCTGCGCTTCTTGACAGTCGATGGGTTGGCATTGCGAAAGACCAGGTCGTGCTGATCTCTGTATCCTGGGCATTCCACGCCGTATTTGACGCACCGCTGGCAGCCGGGTCGTCCGAGATCGCACTGTGAGAGAGGGTCAGCGCTGTATTGTAGGCCGTCAGCGTGGTGTTGATGGATGGTGCTGCGTTTGAGGCGATCTGCGTCAAGCAGGGCTGATGTCACCACCACCAACTAACCTTGACACGTCTTTGACGACACAGGTGACAGTCCTGGCTAGGCCGTCCAGTGTTGGGCATAGTGGCGTCGCCCAGCAGAGCTCGATGAGCCTTTTTGTGGTTTTGTCTCTGTGCAAATTGAAATAACGGCGACCCTCAATGTCAATGTCGATGACCCTGTTGGTGGAGGGGCATGAGGCAAACGGAAAGTGCATTCGATGTCCAACGCAGACTGGAGATGCTGTTTGGAGGAATCCGGTACGGAGTACACTGCATGGCACTGCAGACTGGCCCCATCACCAGGTACACCCACTGTATACACTATACCACCAGACCAGGCAGCATCAATTGATCTTACGGTATGGCGCGGGTCAATACTTTACGCTAACTACTAAGTACCAAGCCACAACAGCTTTTAGTCAGGTGCCCACTTGGCTGAACACTGGTTAAATACAGCCTGGTCCAACCGTTGACAGCCCCCAGCCATCATCCATCGTCCACCCTCGGCCCTTGAGCGACTGCCGTCAGAGCAGCGCCAATTGCTTCGCCAGTGCAGGGCCCCGCAAGAGTGCCGTACATGTATTGAGCGCCAGGCAGCAATTTCCCCTTCAATGGTGTTTTGCCAGACTCGCGTCAAGCCATTGTCATCCTTTCTTTACATTCAAGGGCAAATCGCCTCTCGCATTCGCTGTAGCATCTCACCAAGGGTCTGTTTGAGCGGCTTGATTCGAGTCTTGCCCTCGACATGTTATTCTGGCGGCTGCGCCGGCAGGCTCATACTATCACGCTTACCTCGTCTAAGGAAGCTACTGCTGGCTTATTCGGGGTTGTTAGCCAGGCATGCAGAGTCGTCATCTGGACTTGATTGAAGGCCACAATACGGCTGGGCCCAATCGGCGTTATGTGACCCTGCCTCGAGGCTACTAAAACAGATGCTTCATTCCTATTTCTTGTCAATAAATATCAAATTTCTATACCCCCATAATGCCCATTGTGGTTACTCATTCACATGTACCAAGCATCACCTTGGAATCCGACTGGGCGTCATGGTGTGAGGTGGCACCTGTTTCCAGTCGTTTCTTCCTCAAGTTTGTCAGGACAAGATGGAGAAGAATCAAAACGATTAATATTCTAAGCATCTAGAGTCTTTCCCCCTCTTTTATCAATCGTTGTCCTACCAAGGTATACAAGTCGACCCTATGTCCACGACTGCAAACACATAGCCATGACGATCACAACAGCCTACTTAAGTACGCGACACTGATAATGCTTGGCAGTCCCATGCAAACCAGCCTACTCAAAACACTCAACCCCAGCCAGCGTACCCTTGAATCGAACTGAAACATCATATCTGGTGGTGCAAATGGAGGTCCGGAAAATGATGTAGTGCTCCATGGTTATGCCAGCTAAATCTCCACGCGTGAGGCGAGAGCGATTGGTCACATAAATCACGGTAACAACCACAGCATGCATAAACAAAATGACATGTTTGCAACCATGCAGATCGCATTTCAGGCCTGCCATTATGGGGACGACAGCACCAAAAGCCAGACAGAGCCGGTTGCCACAAACACATCCAGTCACTGGTTTGTGTAATATGTGTAATAATACCTGTATCCAACCACCGTTCCTCATTCAACTAATACAATTTCGCGTCTTTCGAGTGGCGCCACTAAATGCGACGTGCCTTAAAACTCTCATCTTCTAAAGGGAGCTCGTGGAGACGAAGCGAGACACAAGGCTACAACAATGATGACACGATAATATAAACACATTACATACTCGAGTCCCCCAGTACGCATGCAAATCTCCCAAAACGTACGAATTCACAGCCAAATCACACCCCCAAATCAAGGCTACTCGCCCAATGCGGCCCTCAACTCCGCCATGTACGCACCCGTCTTCTCTTCCAGCGCAGCATACCGGCCCTTGCAGTCGTCACGAATAAAGTCCTCCCTCGTCTTGTAATACGCCTCAAACCGAGGCTTTCCATCCGCCAACCCCACAAAATCCCTCTTGGAGCGCGTGAAAATGTGAACATCGGGATCAATCTCATACGCGGCATCGAGGGTCCCAACCCGAAGATACGTCGTGTAAGGACCCCCATCAGCATAGTGAGCCCAAAGGCCAGAGTGGCAGACGCAACACTGCGCAACCGTCAACCCAACAGTCGACTCAGTCGGGAGAGTAACTAGCTCGACCGTGCCGGTTTCATTGTCCCTGTCTGCGTTTGCAGCGGCCTGTAGCTCGGCGCCCTCAGTCTTTGCCCCGACGGGCCCGCAAGTAGCATCAGACAAAGTCAGCCGTGCAAAGGCCGCGTTGAAGCCGGCCAACGCGCCCCCCGGCACGCCCTTGGATCCGGGGACAGCAGGCTGCGCAGACGGGAGGAGCTCCAGCCGGTCCGACTCGACGATGGCGTTGACGGCAAAGGCGGTGCCGAGCTCACGCTGGCAAGAGGTGCAATGGCAGCAGTGGACGAGCAGCGGCGCCTGCTTGACTTGGTAGCGAACGTGGCCGCATGGGCAGCCGCCTTGCATGGGGAATATATTCTTTTCGGAATAGTGAGGCATCGTGTTTCTCGGTGTATATACGACGGGTGGGAAGGATGTGGGTAGTCGGAAAATAAAGGGGGCAGACTTGAGTGAAAGCGCGTCGAAGGATGCGAATCTAGGAGATACAGAGTCTAGAATGACTAAATAAATAAAAAAGAGGCCCGGGCGTGAACACAAGTGGCGGCTGACTGTCAGACAACATTCTCGTTAGTCAGGTGTAAAGCGGGGTGGGTGATAGCTGAGGGGCCGGCCGGCCTGGGGACTGTGGGACTGGCACGGCTGGCCACTCAGAATGGAAGAGGCGGCCGAATTAGGAAGTTTGGATGGGACTGTTGCCGCGAGCCCGCACAGTGACATTGAGACGGCTCATATTCGAGATCGCGCCCAACTTGTTGAGTCGGAATTGGTGCTGTCAGACGTGATGTGGATGTCTCGCAGCGCAGTGTGGGTTAGACAGCTGGGTGTTATGACGGCATGGCCGGTGCCATGTGGCCAAATGGTTCCTACTGATGTTGCCAGATTACTACACCTACTTACTGTACACAACACGGTCCATCGACCTACTTATAAAGAAACATCACATGTCGGGGGCAGCATCGTCAATGCACTGCATGTCAAATCATCCATTGCGTTCATTCTGGGTATCTAGTCCAAGCCCATTTGGGTAATATATGCGCTGTGCTGTGTGTGCTTCTTGTGCCAAGGCACGCAAAACAAATCAAATAATAAAGACAAACAGAATGCAGAGCCAAGCTCAATCAGAACATGCCAAGATGATGAGTGCCGGAAAGCAATCGATATAATCGAATACAATAACATCCAAAACCAGTCTCGGCTGGTGTAAAAATCCCCAATCGTCCCAAACGCCCCGATATATGACCAAATGGAAAATTTAAAAAGAAGAAATTTTTTGTAATAAATCCTGTAGACTGTATCCTGTTCATTCACGACAGGCATAATGAGTACAAGAAAGGGCGAGTTTTTCCTGCCCCATCAACGTCCGTAACCACCGTCACCGAGATGGCGACTTGTTTTGTTTGTTTACCCGCGGCGGAATCCGTCCACCCCGAGGTGAGGCACTTCGATATCGGCCAGTAGCTCAACACCATCGTCCTGGCGTCTTTCGGTAAAAATATTGCATTCAGAAACAACCTGAGCCCATTCTGCAAGGGCACGACCGCAGTACACGGCATTCTTGGCATAGATTCCAGTAGGCTTGACTGGTTTCGTAAGCTGCTCTCTGTTATTGTCGCCGGCAGTGTTGGTAGTAGACAAGTTGTTGTTGCGTGTCGTTGTTTCGCCCGGTGTGCCGCCGTCCCGTCGGGCAACGCTACCACTGCTTCGTCGGCTGCCGGGTCCGAGCCCCAAGCTGCCAGTCGGCGTGTTGCGGAGCCACTCCTCGACGGAGGCGTTCAGAGATGTCAGGTCGCCTTCCTTTGGTGCGCGAGCCTGTTTGGGTGTCTCCGGACGTGATTGGGCTGTGACATCGGCCCGCGGAAGAGGCGGAAGAGGAGGCAGGGACGGGAGAACGTTGTGATTCTTCGCGCTGATGCGCGCCTGTGTTGAGATGGGCAGGCGAGGTCTCGTCAGGACGCGATCACGAGCGGGAGTAGGAGCTTGCTGCCACCCGAGGACAAACTTGAAGGTGTATTTTTGTTCGTCGTAGACGGGAGATGATCCCAAGGATCCATCGTCTGAAGATGGGGAGGAGACTTTCGGGCCCGTCTTGCTCAGGCGCCCTCCCGAGTTGGATGATGAAATGAGGGGTGCCGGGTCGGCCAGCTTTCGACCAAAGACGCCACTAGTGTCGCTTCCCGCTGAACCCGGTGGTGTCCGTCCATACTCGTCGTCCACGGCGGCTGGTTGAATGTTCCCAGACGTAATTGCAAGGACTTTTCCCAGCAGCGACCAACGCTTCTTTCCATTGTCGCTGCGGCCGAGTACGCCAGTGTCTGGGGAATCGATACCAAGCAGGAGCTGGTGGTTGGATTTTGATGATGTTGCTGAGGTTCTGGCGAATGTGTCGAAGCCCATGAACAGGCCCGGATTCGGCGAGGTGGCCTCTTGGCGAATGATCATGAACTTCTTGCCCATGGCAGGGGACATGGGTGCCGTTGACGGAGCTATTTTGCCTGTCTCTTCTGCGGTTTGCTTCAAGTACAAGTAGTGAGCCCAGTTGGTCTTGAGTCGTGCGGCTGCCGCGAGGTAGATATTCATGTCCATTTCATCGGAGCCACCAGTGTATCGACACATTCGCCAGCAAATAAGGCGCTGGTAGTAAGCTCGAACCATGGGGCACCAGTTGTTGAAATACGCATTAAACGACTCCTCGGTCAGGAGCCACTCTAAACACACGGCCGCCTTCCTGCGTGAGTCTCTGGCCATGGCATCCCACACGGTAAAGACAAAAGACAGCATGCGGACTTCGGACATGGTGTTCATTGAGCTCGACATGCGTTTGCACACCTCGATCCAGAAAGGCCAGTCAATGTAGCTGGCCGGGGCAGCAGCTGTTGTCTCGAAGTCATGGTAAACCATCAAGATCTCTTCCAAAAAGTCGCAAAGTGTAAAGCACGCAGAGTTGTCGTACAGCGACGTCTTGCTTGCGGCCGCCTTGAGGGTGGCAGCAAACGATTCGGCAAAGGTATGCTTGGCACCTGCGATTTCCGGACCATCGTCGAACAAGCAGTCTTTGAGCAAGATGACGAGCCTGTTCTCGCCCATGACCCGGATTGCATTACTCGGTGGTGGGAGAGGCATGGGCAGAGCCGAGTCTGCTCCGTTAACCGAGTCAATTAGCGGAGCGTACGCCACGGGTTCAATGCCAGTTTGTCGGTGAATCGTCGAGTCTACAATGGACAATAGCTGTGCATGAACCAGGGCAAATGCCGGCGACCGAGCCTTTTCCGTGAGGGGCAATCCCGGGGGAATGAACTGGTCCGAGAGAACGTGGAAATACTTGAAAAAGATGAAGAAGAGGTCGGTGTCTCGGCCCTTCCACCGAGCCACCCAGGGACCAGTCCAAGGTATTCTCGCCACGAGCAACGGCATCTTGGGAATTTTCTTGAGAGCGTCCCACATGGCTCTAGGCGAAGTCCAACCCAACGGTCCCAACTTGGGTGGGAACAGGGCGGTGATGTCGTCACTTTCACCCACGTCTCTGCGAGGGAGCCCAAATTCCGTCCCGGCTCGCTTGATGAGCTCCGGTGTAAGCCCCCAGAGCCGCAGCAAAACGTCGGCAACTCCTGGGGCGAAGAAGAAGGCGTAGGCACACGTCTTCCCGGAAAAGTTGACCAAGCTTAAAGGCGCGTGGCGCAATGACATCTTGTCCACGACATAGGCCATTTGCTTGACCAGGTTGGCCACAAACATGGTTCGAACATTGTGCTCCGCAGATTCGGCAAACATGTCTGAGTGGACGGAGCCATCCGTCGTCGATTTTGAGGCATTTGTCCATGATCGTGAGCGCACGCGTTCCGAGGGTGACCGTTCCGCCAGCGGCTGCATGTACGTGGTCGCCCGTCGCCATTCAGGCCGCATCATGAGCATCGTTGCGGCTTCCAGCAGCACGGGACGGTCCACGCCAGGGATGGGCTGCTGCAACTGCCCATGGAGCATATCTAGCAGAGACATCCACCACTTGTTGAGAATGATGGCTCGCCTCTCAACATCCTCGAGGGCAATCGTTTTGGCCGACGGGTTGTCTCGTGTACGTTTCAAAAAGGGTAGCAAAACCGAATGGATCTGGGCAACGCGGTGGGAGGTTTGCTTGGACCCAAAGGCCCTCGTCTCAACATCGAGAGTCTTGAAAGCCGACCACAGCGGGTCACGGACCTTGGGCGTCATTTCGTTGCACGATTCATCGGTAATGGGCGTGTTGGTATTACCATCACTGCAGATGGACGGGGAGGCGCTCGTACGGATACTGTTGGAGGTACGGTTAAGGCTGGTGGCTGATGAACCGCAACTGTGGTCAGATTCCGCACCGTCACGGCCGAGGTAGGCGTTTTGGTGTCTGCCTTTGATTTTGAAAAAGTATGACGTGGCCCTCGTAAACGGCTTCGCAGTTGCTCTGAGTTTCTCTGGTTGCTGTTTTGCTTGTTCAGTCGTCTCGTCGCTATTCGTAATGATCTGTAATCGGGCTGGTGATTTGGATGCCTTGACAGTGGATGTACGAGCTAGCCCCTCACGGCCTGGTTGAACCTGCTCTGCAACGGACTGCTCGAACGCATGCTTGGGGGAGGATGGACGAGGTGAGCGTGAGATCCAGGAGCGTCTTGCAAAATTGGTAAAGCCTTCGGAGCTTCCCGACAGGGGAGAAGGTGATGATGTCCTCGTCGTCGTCGTCGTCGTCGCTGTTGTCGATGTGGTGCCAGCAATGGGCTTTTGAGGAGACACGTTTGATTCTAGGCGGCGGCCCCCGTCACTCGCATTTGGCAATTCCTTGGCAAACTTGCTTGTAGGCATCAACCATGACCGAGGTCTGTCAATCAGCAAGTTTCGTTTGCTCCGAGCTATGGAAGCTTGTCTGGGCAGCTTCGCTTCAGACGTTGCAGCTTCAACTACCTCGGGTTGTGGAGACGGTTTGGGTTGGGCGACGGAAGTAGGCTCTCTATCATTGGCAAAGACCAGAGTGTCGAGTTTGAAATCGGTATTGAAAGACGGCAAGTCAAATGCCACCAGGTCCAGCTCTGGGACTTTCAGGTCGTCGGTTCCGGTGTTTCGAGAAGTCGAGCCGGTAGCAACGGAGACGGAGCGATGATGGAGAGATGAGCCTGAGAGGACATCGGTTGGGCCCAAGAGCTCAGATGCAGAAAGTGGGCGCTGCGAGAGCTGCAGAGTCGGGGCCATGACAACAGTTGCACCCATGGCACCAGAAGCCAATGCCTCGCTCTTCTTCGCTGTTGAAGAAGAGCAGGGGGGCAAAAGAGAGAAATGACGGGGCAATTGGAGCAAGAAAAAAAGAGATTACCTCGATGCGCGTTTGTCACAAGAGCGTCACACGGCGCAAAGCGAAA